TATTTTACTGTTATTGATAAGCGATATGGAAAAATCTCTAAGCACTAACTAATGTGAATTTTAAACCAAATGTTGGAATATCTATGACGATATGGTATGGTTGAGATGAGATGAGAAGCAGAGACATTTGCCGATGAAAAAACTTTATTTACAGAAATACAAATAAGCAAACGCATGACTTCTCTTGCCATCGGACTCTTACTTGCGTATGCTGTATGCTGAGATTTACGTTGCGCGAGTGTGTCAAATTTTTTATTTCATAGGTAACAGGTAGAAGGAGTATTCTTTTGAAAATATGTGAGTGTTACTACTATACAAATGTAAAGTTAAAATATGTACTTAAACTTAAGAAGTGTAAAGAAGAAAACTTTATTGTCATCTTAAAGACTACTCGCATGGCAAAATGAGTTCAAACGTTATATCAATTAAGGCAATTAAAGCATTTCTCCTAGGTGTGTCATTCATTCAGGCAAAAGGGACTGTCACATAAAGCATAAATATTCTTCATCATTATTCGACTCGCCTTCTTCTTCTTTGAAAGTAAGTGTAATTTGGCCGCTCGATGACCTTCAAAACAGAAGCTGACAATTTCTAAATATCGACTCATTAATAATTTTTTAGCTACAGCAAGCGCTGACTTAACATTTCATTTGAAGAAGAAGATAAGTGCCCGACTGGAGCTAAGCACTTAATATCATATTCTGAATGCCTAAAGTCCATTCAAAAGATGCATAAAGCTTTCCCATTTGCTCTCACTGACTTGTATACACATACATTTATATGTACATGAGTATATTAATAAAATACAAATGAAATAAATAAATATCAGATGCACTTTTGTTCCAAATAAGTAATTTATATAAGTTGAAAAACAACAACAAAGATTAACTTATGCGTATGCGTGGGTGCTATAAGCTGCGACTAAAACTGCACAAAATATATTCACTTCCTCAATATCTACAGCCAGAAAATGGAAACATGTTAAATTTTTCATTGTCTTTGCAGCGCTTTTCCATATCAGCCATTAACCAAAAACTGTCCATTAGCTTCGACTTGGGGCGATTCGCCTCTGTAAGAGATCAATTTCAAATATATTGCTCTTCGTACTCTTCAATCTTGTGCGCTACTAGTATGCCTGGCATGAATGGATATTATTAATCGTAAATGAACGCATAAATGAACGGTGTCCAAGATTCGTTAAAAAGGCTTATATAATTTTCTCACTTTATTATTATTATTATTATTATTATTATTATGTAGAGGAATAAAGCGCGCCAATTTCAAGTGTACTGTTTACCTGCATTACATGAAAGTTATGGGGTTCACGGCGTTATTTAGCTGGCTGAGAGTGCAATATGAACGCCACGAGCTGAAGTGTGTAGGTTTTCAATAATAATGACGGTTCAACTCGATTAAGGGAGAGAAATGAATTTTACAATTTTATTTAAAATGGTTTTTTCTTTTTTGCCTGATGAATTTTATTTATAAGGGGAGGAAAGTGGCAAAAGTCGATTGAAAAAATATTAAAGTTCTAATTTAAATAAATAAATAATGAAAATTTTCGCTTTTATTGCAACTTTCAGTATATATTGTAACATTAAGAAAATACTTTTATTTCACGATTCCTTAGATTTATATGTTTATATATATATATACATACATATATATAGAGGAAAGTCGAACAAAATTAGTTGCGGAAGACAGTGAACTGAAAGCTATTTAGATTTTCGCCTGCCTTTAATCGCATATCAAATGATCCAGAAAAAAGAAGAAAAACTTCAGAAATCGATCCCTTTCCCCCTATATTACATAGCTATGGATTGGTAAACAGGAACGACTTTGATATCAGACTAAGCGCAAACATATCTAAAGTAAATAAGAGCACCAGAGAGAAATTGTTTGAATTTCTTTTTGCTAAAGTATTTGAATACCTGATACTTATAATGACTGGGCTCTATATTCTTCAGGTATGATGAAAGCAACAAGAACATCTAAACCTACAAATTTCTCTATAAAAATATTGCAAATTTTTAAAATATGTAATTATTACTCAATATTTTGATTTTTTCATTTTTTCTGTTTATCCTGGCATGTGTGTATGTAAATATATGCGTATATGCGTCGGCCATAGGTAAGTAATTTCAATTGATTTATAATAACGACCATAATATTTGTCCTTTAAGACGAATTAAAAAGTTTCATGCAATATTTTTTGCATGTTACCCGAACACCCATTTCCCAAAATACGTTACTCCTATTCAAACGTGGGCTATCTCTCCGTAAATTGTTTGAGTGGGTCTATGTGAATGAACGCACAACGAGATAGAAAGATTTAGTAAAATCATTTAACAAAGAGATCAAAAGCGAAGATATGATCTGCATGTTCCCGTAAGGGAGAAGTGCAATAGAATTAAAAATGTTATTTTTCAATTATACGAAGTTTTCTTATTCTCTTTAAAGATAATTTAGCAAATTTCTCACACATTTTTTGTAAGGAAAATCTTTTTTTTTTTTATTATTCAGTTAGAATGGTGAAGATCTTGGCTAATATTTAAATATATTTTGCTGTTGCTGCTAATTTTCTCCTGCGCCTGAACGTATGCAATAACAAATGTGGTCAAAATGCGGCTGCGAATGTTTGCAGTAGTCAGTCACATTGCTCTGTTATTTAACACTAATCAGTCACATGGCTCTGTTATTAAACAATAATCAGTCACATTGACCTGCCAGTTACACTGCTTTGACATTTAACAAAATATAAATTTCCCAAAAACTATACTATAAAAATTGAAAAATGGTCAACTCACGATTACAATTTTTTTTACTTAACGCAATTAAATTGGAGAATCGGAAAAGATATATTGCAAATATTTTTAAATATTATATTCGGTCGTGAGCGATCTCGTCACGATTATCCTATAAAAAGAAAAGAAGTACATTTTTACACGTTGCTTGGACTCGATGGATTTTTTGCATTTTCAGAACAAAACTGGAAAATTATATGGTGAGGAAAACAAAAGCGTTAACACTTTTCGTTGCATAGGCATGGAAGCGTTGTAGGCGTGTCCCTTGACCGATTTGGATCTTTTTAAAATTCTTTTGCAAATTTGTTGCGAACGGGAGAATTTTACTTAAAGATTGTACACCGTTGGACAGACGGAGAGACGGGCATGCTTAGGTGCATTCCGAACATGAAACTGATCAAGAATTTATATTTTATATTTTATGAGGTTTTTGAAGCTTGTTCCTGCGCGTTATAAACGTATTAAAAAAAAACAAACTATATAAATAAATTTTGATGCACTATAATATTGAATGGGCGTGGTCAAATATTCCCATTTCTCAATCCCATTCAGCTACAACAACATCGCCCATAAAAAATGCGTTCAAATTTTTGTAAATCTGTCTGCTGAAGTTTATGAGTGTTACTAATGCTCTATTTGATTTCAATTTTCGAATTAGCTGACACCAACAATACACGAGACAGAAGTCGCCAAGTGAATAAATATTATTAATATTATAGTTCGCATGGAATTCTAACTGCTTGTACTATATTTAAATATTTAGTGATTGCTTTTCATCCATTTTATAAGTTTTCAAACAAAGCCATTTAGGATCCTCCTTAATACTGATTATTTGGCCATTTTTCGTATTTATTCGTGGTTCTTCCTTTTTGGTACACTTTGTGATGAGAAGAATCACAACAGATTTGGGTAATATGTGCAATATATGCCTAAATATATGCATGGAATGATATACATGTTGTTGGCGAATCCAATCTTCGCATGAAAAGTGATTGAAATTTCATGACATTTCAACTATTAGCTTACAACTTGGGATTGTTTCAGGGATCCTTCACAAAACTGCTATACAAAAAACTGTCAAAGGACGTTTGTTTCTATGTAAGCAAGTAGAGAAAATTTTCTCTCTCTCTCTCTCTCTCTCTCTCTCTCTCTCTTTCTTTCTTTCTTTCTTTCTGTCTCTCTCTCTCTCTCGCTCTATGACTCTATCAGCCCATTTAATAAAATATCTTATAAGTTGTCCGCAATTGCTTAGATTAATGGTAATCGAAACTTGGCTTGATTTTTATTTTTTTTGCTGATTTTTTTTTTTTATGAAAATAATAATCGTGAATAATTTCATATATTTTCTTATCCTTTGGCAATGTGTGTTGTAAAATGTCTGTTTGAAAATATAAAGAATAAAACTTGTAATCGACATTGCGGCTCATTTGCGTTAAAGCAACAAATCGATTTGAATTTTCCAATTTAGAAGCGTCGTGAAATTGTTGCCTGGATTCTCGATCTCTTACAAATCGTATAACAACTATTTAATTAGCGTTGTTTCTCGTTTCTTTTAGAAAATATGTTCAAAAAAATTTTTTTCTTTCTCTCCGCCGAAAAACGAAAGCACAACAAGAATCTATTTTTAATAATTGTTGATGATAGAACAGGCATAACAATGAAAACAAAAACAACAATAAAATCTCTCTTAAGAAACATATGTATTTCATAGATGTTTATTTTTCTTTCTTTCCCTCAGCTATGTTTTATTTTATTTATTTATTTATTTTTTTTATTTTTGCTTTTTCGTTGCAAATAATACGACAACGATCGCGTTTAGTACAAGAGTACACGTTGATCACAACAGACAAAAAATTTTTAATATCAAAAACAAAAGAAAAACCGAAAAAACTACTACTATATATATATATATATATATATGTATATATGAAAATAGTATTCATTCAATTCAATAGTTGGATGGAGAAAATGCATTTTTGACCAAAAACAATTAAAATTTCTTCAAATCAATTAAGTTAAATAAATTTATTTTATTAATGTGAAATGAAAATATAATAAAAACAAACAAACATTTTTTTATATATATTCCAAATATTTTATAAAATATATGATAAAAAAAAAAAAAAAAAAATCTTTTACTTTTAAAATATTTAACAAATGATTCAGACATACAGACGTTAAAAAACACACAAAAATTCCGAAAAGCAAAAAAAATAAATAAAAAAAGAAACAAACTGAAACAATTTTTGCATATTTTCTTAAATATTTGGAAACAATCGTGCGCAACTCACAACTATATAAATCCGTCAAATAATGACTACACGCGGCATCAGACGTAAAAAGTCTACACTAACAGATTTAAAGATTGCGGTAGTCGGGGCGCCTGGTGTTGGTAAAAGCGGTACGTCGTTCTTCTTCTTTTCAAGTATTTTTATTCTTTATTGTTTTTGTTGTTGGCCTTTCCTTCTATATATATATATATATATATATATATATATATTCTTAAAATATGTGCATATGTTTTTCATTTCATGCAAATGAAATGTTTTTGCGAAAATACGCACATTCTTCCCCCTCTTAGACCTTTCCGAGTATTTTCATTAAAAAAAACGTAATGAATTAATAACTTTTGACATATAAATGATTGAAGAACATTAATATTGGCAAAAAGAAATCATCAAAAGAATTCATCAGCATCATTAACACGTCACGAGAATGCATTTTATTAAGTTCCTTAATAAGAAAGACATAACGAATAACGATATCAAGTGATAGTATCTTAGAGAAAGAAAGAGATAAAGAAAGAGAGGGAGAAAGAAGATATGTTAGATGATGTTAGAGATCTTAAGAAAAGATTATTTCCAATTAACGTTTGAATATCGCCAATCGAATGAGGAACGCGGAGTATGTACGCCTTAACAGCCTTAAGTTACGATTGGAAACATTTGCCAGTGAAGCCTCGATAATTATTTGTTAACTATTTATATCGGGTGAATAATGTAATCATAACCGAAGGATAAATTATTCCACAGGCTAATACTACAGAGTAGGGCAGACAGATCCAATTAATTTGAGATAGTGCGCTGATGTTGACCTCGTGCGACCTCAGGCCATGAATTTGTTAAGTAATGGATATCAAGCACCGTGACTCGCACCTAGATTCATAGATCGACTAGAAGTTGTGCGCGTTTTGAACTTGAAAATTTCGAATTTTCAAAATTTATTCAAGTCGGTTAAACATTCAAACATTCAAAGCATGATGAAAAGCATTACAGTTCATCAGTTGCCTTGACTAATAAATTAATTGATTTTCAGAACTATTTCACACGTATTTTAAATTGAATACAAGTCTTTATTTCATTTTCCATGATGCAGAGTCATTTTATAGAAATTAAATTTCTTTTTATTACCATAGAAAAATTAATTTACTCAAACTTCTCTTTTTACACGAATTATCGTGTAAAAAAAAAAAAATGCTGATAATCATTACTAATATAAACAGATATTTTCTTCGATGCGAATTTTTATTTAATTCCATTAAGTAAAAGTTCTTAAGCTGGGCAGTTCTAAATGTTGTCTACAGTATAACTATAACGTGCGATTGTAAAGCTAAATACATTAACACGTTTATCCTTAAAAGAAAATACATTTTTTGTTTTTCATCCACCATTTACGCCTGATTTACAATTAATTTAAATCAAATATCTTACTACACTGGCCTCTAACAAGATGCATACATACATGGGAGCAATGAATTGTGATCGAGTTTGAATATTTTACATATTCTTAAAGACCTGTATTCGCTCTCAAGAAAATGATGAAATGATTATTTGAATAGAATGATTTTTTCGAGCACTGCAAGCATTTCTTTGACATCAGTTAACAGATCACGAATACATTTTCCATATACATTGTACTTTATTATGTTGTTGCCTTCTTCGGAATCGTTTACATCCGCAGACATAATAATAAACACTTGCAATGCAAATATTAATTAAATTTTGTCATTCCATTGTCAGCCAGCTTCAGTTAATTTATATATCTTTTAACAGCAAATTTTGTTATTGAAATTTTTAAACCGAAAATGAATTCTTATTACATTTGCTTCGGTGTTCTTCGCTTCAGACTTTCTGAATTTGTACAGTGTTACTTAAAAAATACTTAAGAGAGCTTCTTAACCGATCGAACAAGTGAAAGTTAATACATCAAGGTCACCGATATCGTACAACCTTTCAGTTTAAGCGTCGATTTTTATTTTAATTCTATTATTTATCTATCCATATATTATTATTATTATTATTATTATTATTATTATTATTTAATTGTTTCCATGCGTGTTTGCAAAAATTTTTATCGGTGACTTCTACGGGGCAAAAATGATAAAGAAATGGGAAATACTCGTGCAGAAACGATTGAATTCGATGATACACAGGCATCATCACTTGTTCAGATCGGTGCAGGATGGCTTTTGACTGGCAAGCATGATGAGTAAGTGCGAAAATGGGTCGGTGAGTGGAACGCTGCCAAACAAATATAAGTCCATTCGAGACGAAATCGTCATATTGCCAGAACTATGGTAAAATGTTGTAGAAATATTTTGATTGACTATACATTGTATCAGTTTTTCTCAATAAATGCCTTTTTCAAATGAAAAAGTGATTAAAATTTTTGCAAATACCTATTATATCGCTTTCGCTTTGCCTTTTATTTCTTTACCTTGACCCGAACACTGAATATAGATTATTTTTATCGTTTCATTTCATCTATACCTTGGATATATAGAATTTACAAACATATATATATATATATATATATATATATCTTATATATATATATATCTTATAGATATATATATCTTATATATATATTTTATATATATATCTTATATATATATATACATATATATATATATATATATATATACTACGTTTGCCCATTTCTTACGAATTCACTTTCCTCTTTCTTGTATGAGAATTCTTGAAGCTATCGAATAATTGCAATTAAAAAGTAAAGGAGCTTTAGGAAAGAATCGAAAGTTTTACTATATCTATCTTGCAATTCACATTTATTGGGCAGCACTAAAATATTTTATTCTAAAATTGCTTTACCGATCAGGTAAATGACCGATACCTTCAAAATAGTGCCTATGCAATGCTGAGTTTACAACGTGAACAACACCTTATTTAAACTGGGTATGTCTATATATCTGTCTGTCTCTGTATAAGCTCAATATTATTTTGATTACCTATGGTTACGATCGGCATTGACAATTGAGAGGCAATGAAAAGCTTCGCCTCAAGTCAGTTAAACATTCGCACATAAACTCTTTTTCTATATATGTTCTAACATTTCCTTGCTTTTTGATTTTAATATATGTATATATATATATTATATATATATTTGTTTTGTCTTTTTTATTTATCTATTTATTTATTTATTTTTTTCATTTTAAATTTGCGTTTAATATAAATATTTTTAAATGCGTCTTCCTCTTAATTTGTTTATAATTAAATCATTTCGGTTTTCATTATCAGTTTCCACCTGTTTACAGAATTTGCTCGCATTTACACGGACGCACACACACACACACACACACACACACACATACACATGTATATATATATTTGTGGTTCTATTTAGAATACATAAATTAGTTCGACTACAGCTTCGGAGCTCAGCTATTAAATTCGAAATATTATTAAAAATATTTTTTTAAATTTTATAACTTATTTTTATTTCCTTTTCTAATTTTTTCTATTCGCGCAAATCATTTCTGAAAATGATATATTATATGTAAAGGCATTACAATCTCATATCATGTCCTCAATCAAGAAAGACAACAACACTAAAAAATGAGTAAAAGAATTTTATTCGATTTAACGAAAATAATTGATGCTCAACATATCAAGTTTCAACTGTCCAGAGTTGAGAGTACAACTGCGTGCCAAACAGTGTAATCCTTAAACTGTACTTGCAGACGGGTTGCGTAAATGTTTTAAACAAATTTCACAATAATGTCGAAGAACTTGAGGTAGACCCAATCGATTGCGTATTATTTTCCAAATCGATCTAAATTTGTCTGTCCATCGGTTCGTCCGATGTCTACCCATGTAATTTTACGTTCAACATACAGACCGCAATTCAATTTACTAGAAGAACATATTTTGGCTCAGGGACAAATAGCATTGAAAATAATTCATCCCAGACCATCCTTTCCAACGTCTTGTTTTAAAAAGTCATTTTACAAATAACTATATTAAATCAAATTGTGTAGGGTATTTAATGGTTATTCTTGTTCTTTTTAAAGTTGTCGAATCGCTTCAGCTAATAGCGGACGAGTTACGTCGATTATAACTTTGATAATTCTTTTAATAGGCGGTAATTAAGCAGCTGGACGAGAGTACACGATTGAACCGACCCAAATGAAGAACTTTATATGTTACATGTGGTTGGTGTCTTTGATATTAAAAACTTCGCAATAAAATGAGTGGACTTTTATCCTTCAAAAACATTAATAGCGATAAAGGTAGATAGATAGAGAGATAGATAGATAGATAGAAATAGGAATAGAGGGAGATAGAGGGATAGAAAAAGAAAGAAAGATAGAAAGATAGAGGGTGAGAGAGAGAGAGAGAGAGAGAGAGAGAGAGAGAGAGAGATGGGGATAGAGATCGATAGAGTAGAGATAGATAGGGTAAAGATAGATAGGGTAGAGAGAGATAGTGATAGAGATAGATAAATAGACAGCTAGAGACAGAGAAACAGAGATAGCTAGATAGAGAGAGAAAAATAGAGGGATAGATAGGTAAATGGTGTGAGAAAGAGAGGGGAGGAAGCGGGAGGTATTCAAAAATTTACATCGTCAGCATTTAGAATTTTACATGTATTTTAATATTTTTGGTCGATTTAATTTCGTTTTGACCAAATTCGTAGCATAACACATCCATTTGTGACAAGTACTTGTGGATGATAACTTATTGCTCCGATTGCTACAATAAAACGGCACACATTGTAGTGAATAAGAACCGATTGAAAATTTACTAGAATTAAAAAAATTGCGCTTTGGGTGAGCCATGGCTCCAATGTCAGTTAATGCTATTTTGGAGTTATTACTAATAAAACTACCCAGTTGTGTTAGTTGAAAAAATTGAAACAATTCATAATATATATGAACAATGTAATTAATCCAATGTACATCATGTTCCCTCCTCCTTCAGAGCTTTACTTTGAATCGAACTTTTCTCAGCTGACGCGGAATTCAAGCATGGCCTTTACGGTCTTTCACGTTACATTGGCATACATTTTCCATTTCAAATAGATATGAAGACATATGTCGAAATGAGTCAGATTAGATAAAAGTAGATCCCGCCATTGAAATAGGAGTCATTACGTTTTTTTATATGCCAATTTCTTGAGTTAGCCTTTTCGAAATGCTCGACTGTTTTCGAAAATATATTTTTCAGCTTGTTGTTGACCGCAGTGGTATCTGATCTTTCTCAACATCACCTTAAATAATTTCAAGTCAATTTTGTAACAAAAGCATATACATACTATTGAAGCATGTTTTTGTGTTTTAGGTGAAGGCATGCTTGACATTCCGTGCACGAAGCCTACGCATACCCTACAATAAAACAACAAAAACGTGTAAAAACATTATAGTCGGGCAAGACTGACAATTACATGATACTCTACACTAGTTCGCCTAGTACAGTTATTCACCAAAAATGATATATTATTTTCACGCAAAGGTGTACTTTTCATGGAAGCCCAAATATCCAAGGACGCCGTAAACATCACATGACTTGTTCAAGATGTAACAAACTCAGTTAACTGCCCAAAAATGTTATTATTGTTTTCCGAGTTCATCGTAAAAAATTAGAAACTATTTTCTTTTCTCTTCATATAAGCGCATGCTTTAGGCGATAATCCTGACAGATGTTAGGTTTAAAAAAAATAGCCCTACTTGATTCAAATTCCGTACCGTTAATTTTTTTGCTAATTTTGCTGCTATTTTGGACCAATTTTCGTCATTAAATATTAAAAATTAATTTATTTACTCACTTACAGGACTCTGGATGTTTATGAGAAATCCTATATGGGGCGGGGTCCAAGAAATATATCGCTCACTACCATGAGCCAATTCTCATTGTAAAACGTTAACAATTAGGCCTTTTTAGCATATTAAGGGGCAAGGGATATCTTGAAAGTCGTTATATCACAGTGGTATGAAAAAAATTAACCTACGCGTTCCAAATTCGGGAAGATTGATTTTTTTATCAATTTACTATTATATTTCAATTTTCACTATGAAATGTTGAAAATTAGACATGTCCGCCATATAAAGATTCAGTTTTCGTAGCAGCGCTTATATAAGAGTGGATTCAAAAAATTACTTCAGCTAAAGCAAATTTTCAAATCAATTTAGAATGTCCAAATACTATTATTTAGTGATCTTTGTCGAGAAATTCAAAAAATTGCAATCTTTTTCTATATAAAGAGTTGGAGGAGCGGTCGAAAAAATCGATTTTCAAAAGGAGTTCGTCCTCCGCTCAAAAATATCAGAGTAACAAAATTCATCAAATATTGCGATGTATAGGTGTGGACGCAAAAGTGAATGGACCGATGGACAGACAAGCTGCAAATCACTTTCTGAATTGATCGGTATAATAAACGTAGGGTCAAATACCGAGTGCGGCTCAACATTCTATTTCTTATCCTCAACTATTTTTTATATTATTTGTGTATATAATATAAAGAAATAATATATACATACACATATATCACATATATTTTAATACGACTTTCTATTGGAAACACTTTTCATCCTTTTTTCGTAAATTTATTAAGCAGTAAGTAATAGGCAAAAAAAAAAAAAAAAATAAGTGAATAAAATATTGGGAGTGCAAAGCTTTCGACTCCTTAGGCTTCTAATACTGTTATAGGCTATCAAAAAGGGGAGTTTCAAAAAATACTTTTACATATGGGCGTAACTTTTTTTTGTCCCAATTGAGAGAATCCTACTTAGAGATCTTGGGTTTTCTTTTTTTTTTTTCTGCTTTTTCGAGATCTTTTCAGAATTTGATTGAAACGAGGTACGGAGATTATGTATGCATTTGATAATTAATGTATACAGAATGAACAAGTTAAAATACCGTCCTCTCGCTGATGATTGTAAAGACCAGAGAATGAACTCTTCTGCATGTCCGAGAAGGAAAGTGAAACTGTTATTGTCACAAATAACTGCACGACATATGTAATTCGTCACATTACAGCAAAACTGCAAAATCATGATAAGAAGGTGAATAATGTATGAAAAAAAAAAATAAATAAATAAATAAAAGAACAAGCAACAACAACGACAACAAAAAAATTCACATATATAGTAAATCAGGTGTTTTGCTTTTTTCAAACACCATTTGTTTACAGCCGAGACATATTATTTCGTTTCTACCCTGTCTACCCTCTGTCTTTACCGTACACAGTTAGTTAGTTAGTTAGTATATATATATATATATATATATGTTAGGCAATGCAATGTGTATAAATATATATATATATATAATAATATCTTCTCTTATATAATATGAAATAAAAATACACATATATATACAAAATAAGAAAGCAACAAAAACTTTAAATAGAATAAAAATTTGTTTATTTTACATGACACGCAATTTTAAGGTGCAGTCGTTTATGTTTATATATATATATATATATATATATATTTGTGTTGCTCCAGCAATGAGAAGGTAAGGAAGGACTTTTGCTCATTCGTTTTGTTTGTTTTTAAAGTAATCTATTGCTATGGTTTTTGATGTTGACGAGCTTAATGGCATTATTATTTGTTGTTTGTGTGCGCGTAGGGAGAAATAAAGTATGAACAAATTTTATAGATATATATATATATATATATATATATATATGTGTGTGTACGTACATTTTTCCCTTTCTTTGTACAAAAAAAATTCTGCATTTTTTCAGTTCAGTACATTTTTAGAATTTTGTAATTGACCTGAATTTCCTTTTCTTCTATTCAACTAAATTATGTGTTTTAGATTCAGGTCAGAAATCACGCAATTCGTTTATACAGAACAGAGAATTTCATACATTCATACCATCATCCATATATTTATATATATATATATATATATATACCTGTTGGGGGTTAAATTTAGCGCCATATGCTATAAAAATATGCATACATCACATTTTTAATGCATTAACGTAAGTTTTTTTTTTTGTTTTTATTTTTTTTTTTTTTCAATTTTTTTCATTTTTATTTTCAGCTTTAATTGTGCGTTTTTTAACGAAGAGATATATCGGCGAATATGATCATCAGACTGGTAAGTAAAATTTTGTTATATAAATTTCAAAAAATAAAAGACAAAAACACCTTACACCAGAGATAATTAAAATGTAGTTCGCTTGCAGATAATTAATTAAATAAAATTTAAAACTTATTTATTTATTTACTTTAAAGAAACATTTGATTTTTTGCTATAATAAAAGCATTGGAAAGGTTAAGGCGAAAAGTACGCGAATTCACCGAGCAGATAACAATGGAAAAGAGGAGTAAGATTATAATCTTGCTTTTAAGAAGCAATGCATGGCAATACCAAGGATTGAATATTTTATATAATATCAGTTAATTCCTTATAGAGTTTACGAAGTGCATTTCATTTGAAACATTACTTTCATATATGTTGTCGGTCTTGTGAAAGCAAGTACAGATCATAGGACGGAAGGTGTACGAGTCGCGTTGAATACAGTAATATATTCAAGTCCTCAAATGTTTATAAAAAATCATCATCATTATCATCAACTAATAAAGCGATATTTTTTTTCTTTTTTTTCTTCTTGAAAACGTTTGATTAAAAGGAGATTAAGGAGATTCTTGCCAATCATGTGCGAGTTGTTGGTTAGGCTTCTTTGCTAATTTGCAAACGATTTACAAATCTGACAAGTCTGCTAAGAAGGAATTCAAAGACATATATGAATGGACTCAGCGGATGCACGAGAGATAGACAGACAGACAGACAGAAATGTAAATATGTCTAAATGTCAACGCTTATAGCGCTGCCAGTTAGATAGATGTTGCGTATCAGAATAAGTCTTAGCCATTAATCGCATGCTTGGCTATCCATCCTGCGAAAGAAGTAAGTCATTTGTAATACCCAAAGGCATCAAGTAGGTTACCAAGTAGAGCGCTGCATGTTATTCTGTTTTGAAGCGAAATAAATAAACAAATTATATCCGGTCGTAATCGAATCTTTTATACCCATCTTTTATACCCGTTAACCTAAAAAGGACAAAAAAAGTAAATGTACTAAAATTTCATGCTCTATAACGTGTAATGGGCGCGAGTGATTTTTTTTTTTAATTTTGAAAATAAAGGCTTTCATTCCATAGGCGTGGTACGCGTGTATTTTGAAAAGTTTCGGTCACTTATAAAGACGTTTGCAAATTTGTGGGCGATTTGTAGGCGGGCGAGAATATTTACCACAAATACTACATAGTTGGTCAGGCGGAGAGATGGACATACGAACAGATCGACATGTTTAAGTGCATGCCACACTTGAAACTGTCTAAGAATTTATACACTTTATGAGGTTTTTGAAACTTGTTTCTGCGCGTTCTAGAGGTATTGAAAAAAATATTCAATTTTGCTACAATTGTATTATATTGGGTAGGCATGGTAAGTTTTTTCCGTTTTTCCACAAGTAATACAGCCTCGCCCATTAAATATTTGCTATGATGAAGAAACCAATTTTTTATTCCGTTTGAAAAGTGGTTGTGCTCCCAGTTTATGTGGTACTGTAGGCGTGTCCTTCCACCGATTTAGACCATTTTAAAGATTAATTAATTAAAGAACTTCCAAATGTTTCTACCACATTTGAAGTCGACAGCTTCACTTCCGCGGCCAGGAGAATGTTCACAACAGATATTATACGGACGGACGGACGGACAGACGGGCATTCTTAAATCAATTCAGAAACTCATGTTGATCAAGAATATATTCGTATATATGCTTTGTGTGGTCACTGATGCGTCGTTGCAAAGATTTTGAAAAAATGATTATAGTGTAGGGTGTTTTATCATAGTTGTTTAATATGTACTCTATATAAATAGAAGGATACGAAAATAAACAAAAAAAGAAAAAGAGATGAAGAATATTATAAGAAAATGTTTCGAATGGGAATGAGTCTGATGTGAGCATGTCTGTACGTCCATCTAACATATATTCCTTATGTATTTTTATTCGGAATATTAATGTATAAAAAGTTAGCAATAATACTCAAAACCCGCCTGAGTGGCCGAATCGGAGAAGAGTCTCGACTCGCGACTCAATGGTCGTGGGTGCAAATCTCAAGTGCAGTAGAGTTTTCAATAAAGCCGAAAGCCTTAGATGCTAGTGCTTTAAGACTTTAGTCTTAGAATTTATTCTCTGGCTAAAGTTATAATAATAATAATAATAATAATAATAATTAATACTCAAAATCTCGATTAAGGTGATAGGTATCCACTGTTCGTCTCAAGATGGCACATATAGTCTTTGTGCTTATTTTATAATTAACATTAACGTGTAAGTAAGTATTTACACCAACAAATCAACAAGCATTTCACAATCGAAAGTATTAACGGAACGAATGCGTTTACCGCTAAAACTTTTACTGAGAATTAAATTAAAGAAATGTGTGCGCGTACAGCAAGCACATATTATATCCACAACTATATGAATGTATGTATGTGTATGTTTTGTAGAGGGCATTTTCGATGTTATGACCGCATACTCTGCATTATTTTCCTATTGTTCTCTGCATTACTTGTAGCTTTACAGTTTTACTCAACGAATTGCATACATGCGCCCTTCATATATATGTGTATACATATTTTATATTATTTTCCTCTTCTTATTTTTTGCTATTCCAGAAAATCGATATAAACATGAAGCGTTGGTCGATGGGGAGCCAATTTTATTTGAAATATTAGATACATGTCCCAAGGTGAGCGTTGGTGATGATGATGTTGCGTTTATGGTGTTTGTGTGTCACCTATCTATTATTAATATTTGATTAATATTCAGTATGATGGTTAACCATATACCTATGTGCTAATTAATAATCAGTAAAGACTAATTCGTTATTGTTTTTGTGTTCTTTCCGTTTCCTATTTCATGCATTTCGCTAACTTTTCTGCATAAAAGATTTGCTTTCATAAAACTTTCCTGAAAGTTTGAGACATAAAAGCTGTTCGTGATGATAAACATGAAGTCAAGTTGAGGTTTAAGTCAAAATGTGCCCTAAACACACACTCACTTATACTCATTAAATTAAAAGTGTAATAAAATTTTGTTCTCGTTATCGCTCTCTCTCTCTCTCTCTCTCTCTCTCTCTCTATCTCTCTCTCTCTCTCTCGCCCAAATAATGAATATAAGGAAACATTGCAATTGGCTTTGGTCATATCACTGCACCGTTTTTTCCATTTACTTGAGTAATTTTTGCAGTATTTTCTCGCCTTATATCGAATTCTTGCAGTATATTTCCCCTCCAGTTTTACCTTTTTGCCTAACTTTTTCCCGTCTTATAATTATAATCCTTTGAGTATTTTCCCGATTTTGAGCGACCCTTGATATGATGATGAATTTCTCGACTTGGGTTAGAATTTTCGCTGCATTTGAACTACTTAGATTTAATCTTTTTCCTTAAGTTCTTTATATAGAACGTCATTATCGCTCGTTCGCCATAAAACGCATTTTTGCGGCATTCAATTATTTTCGTCTTTTTATACCTTTCACCACTTTCGGTACAGGATATATTAAGATAGCATGCGAAAGCATGTACCACCCACTCTTGATTATACCGATCGATTTAGAATCATAATTTAAATTGATTTAACCCTGTCTGTCCGTCTGTCCATCTCATGTCTGTCCAAGTATATTTGTTTTCAATTTACAGGTAGCAATTTTTGAGATATTTTGATACAATTTGATACAATGAAAATAGTTCGGATCGGTCCACTTTTTTGACTACTTCCCATAGAACGCCCCATTTTGAAAAGTCAAAAGGAAGAAAAATTGCAATTTTCAAAATTTCCCGACAAAAGTGGCTAAGTAATAATATTTCGGCTTTCTAAATTGGTGTGAAAGCTTTGGACCGTCTGGCGCAATTTTTGGAACCCCCTCTCATATAATGACAACTGAAGTTCTTTTGACAACCAGCTCTAATTTTCATAGCTTCATAATGAAAATCAGGCCCGGATCTTTGCCTAATAAGAATTTTCACGTAAATCGATCCAGAAAAGTCAAAATTTTAAAATGTTATCATGATATGAAACTTAACTCATAATAGTAAATTAATAAGAAGAACTTCACTGTACCAAATTTGAACAATCCACGCCTTTTTGTTGATCCTACCCCATATAAGGGTTTTTTTTGGAATTTCCTGTTTTTTAGGGTAGAAAAGTCTATGTTTTAATATATGATGATTGAAAATTAAGAATTGTGTTAGACACAATATCGCGTAGGGTATTTAATGGTTGAATTTGCCCGGCTATATTGTTCTTACATATTTTAATAATTACTTCATTTATAAGGATACATGTCCAAGCTCAGCTTCAGCTCATGTGTAAAATAAAAAGGTAAGTATCTAATTCAATAACTGCATCACAATTGCACATATATTCAATATTCCTATAACATAACATACACAAGCACATATAACATAGAAATGTTTTCATGTTTTTTTTTTTTTTTTTTCTTTACATCGAACGAATATTCCTTAGAGTAGTGAGATTGTATAGAATCAGTAAGTAAGTAAGTAAGTAAGTAACGATGTGCTTACACATCTGCTCATGTGAAGGACGTGAACTGCCATCCTAGGCTTTGTGATTATCTGAATGTACTGAGTGCAACAGATATTGCAAATGCTTAATGCATAATTAAATTGAGATCGGTCTTCGCAGCTTGAGAATTCTTCAAGGTCAAACTCAAGTATGGCATTAAGCGTAGAGAGAGAGAGAGAGAGAGAGAGAGAGAGAGAAAGACAAGAGTGTAAAGTTCGGTTTACCGCCATTGCAATGGAAAAGTTTCTAGCTTTTTTAAGTCTAACTACATAAGTCGTTCTCACATACTTTGACGAATGCCGTGCAATTTCTTCCGCTGATTTATTTTGACTAATTCACTTGATTTTTAAATATATCAACCCTGGGTGCATTTCTCTATCTAATTGTTTAGTCATCTTCTTTTTTGTTTGAGTGAAGCAGCAATTTGAATCAACATTCCATACAACGTTACAGAACGAGTCTGGTGCATAAAAATTTAGTAAAACTAAAGCTTATTGTCGCCAAATAGTTCTTCCGTTCGATGAAGAAAGGAAAAATTGCCATAAAAATGCGAGAAGCTTATAAAAAAAAGATGAATAAGAAGTCAAAAAACAAAAGAAAAACATACACATGTACATATATATATATATATATATATGTACACTTATATATATATGTATATATATGTACACTTTTATCCGCAGAACAAGAGTAACAACTGATTTGCCTGCAAAAGGGGTTGAGAAGAAGAGCTAAAGCAATATATGTTGTCATGGCATGATTCTACTAACACATTATAAGTTATAAAACACTTTTGGTTTTCTTCATCGTTACAACCTCACAACATTATAACTCTTACGTAATAATTTATTTCTTTTACGGATTTTCTCTTCATTTCCTTTTCACCTCGAATAATTCCTATACTGATGATGGCAACAATGATGATGATAATGATGATGATGATGATGATGATGATGGTAACGATGACGTCATATTTAGACAGATGATGAATTTCCTAATGCTAGTGAATTAGTACAATGGGCTGATGGCTTATTGTTGGTATACTCAATAACCGACCGCAATACCTTTAATTACATTCGTAAAGCAAAATGTGACCTACAAACGGATACACCATTGCAGCTGGTAGCCAATAAAGTGGATATGGTGCATTTACGGCAAGTTAGTCGCGATGAAGGTGAAATATTAGCCAAAGATTTTGAATGTAAATTTAGTGAAGTCTCGGCTGCCGATCATGTTGACCAAGTGGCCGATGTTTTCCATGAATTGTGCCGTGAAGTGTTAGCATCGAAACGGAAATCGAAACAAAGTCTATTAGAGCGTATGCTAGGCGGCTCGCGTCCTTATAATCGGGGGAAAAGTGACAGTAATTTACCTAAAGATTAGAGCGTGAAAGTGAACGAAAATTATTGAAATACAACTATATATATATATATATATATATATATATATATTAACTATATATATATAGTTAATTAAGTGTGTGTATGTGTGCTTGTTTATGTTAATGTTTATGCATACGTTTTATCCATAATCAGTTTTAATAAAAAATAAATCTTAAATAATTTTAAATAATTAATTTTCATAAGCATAAGAATCCAAACATATGAGGGAAATGCATGCCGCTTAACGTTAGTTCGGATTATATAACTATTTAGGTTTTCGGTGTCGAGGCGAGAGATATTCGTTTGATTTGTTTGAAATTTCTAGTCAGTCGTGCCAGATATCGAACGGCTTATGAATGATTAGTTGTTTCCTTCTTCCCACCCTCGATTTGTCACGAGTGCATGAAGGTTAAATCTCAAGTCTTAACCAAAACTCTCAAATTCGTACGCTACCCGTGTAGGCCCGAAAATTCAATCTCACTTTTTCCCGGTGCATATATAGAGCATAAAATAAATCCTAGACGATACTACGTTCTATGCATTCAATGCATTCAATGCATTCACTTAAACTACTTAAACTACTCAATTAGATGTCCATGTCTAGGCATAGATGAAAAAAATGGTGAGACAAGAACATTTAGATTCATAAGGGACTGAGACTCAGGCTCGATATGAATATATATAACCTGTAACTTATCATAAATATAATATGAAGTGTAATTATTGAGGACATCAAAGTTCTTACACTACAAGTCGACAAAAAGCTCGAAATCCTTTTTACATGGTTGTGGTCCAAAATGCATTCGTCATTCAATTTCCAACGATATATGATATGATTTTCTTTCAATCGCGTTCACACTTTAATATATTTTGATGATTTTTTTTATTTTTTTTTTTTTTTATTTGTTTTTTTATAAAAATTTATTGGAAAAAGAAATTTTTACAATCTTTTGAAAAAGATAAAAAGTTCAAGTAAAAGTTTTATATGAAAAGCTTTTTTTACATTTTTAAAGTTACACAAAAGCACAACTTTTAAAAAGCTCTCGAAGCTCAATTGCGAAAGATTTATTTAGCTTGAAGCGAATTCGAAACACATAATATTTAAAAAATCCTACAATTATATTATGTTAGTAAGGATAGCAAGGAGCGGGACAGCTCGTATATAAAATTTTTTATCTATTTAATCGAATTCTAAACAATCTTTTTAAGATTTTTTTTTTTTTTTTTTTTTAATTTTTTAGTGCTTCTTATATGCATAGACCTACAGATGGACTAGGGGCATTTAAGCATTTGATCTGACAAAATTGTTTTAGAATCTCTTAATGACAAACCCGTTAACGATAAGCGCTTACGCAAATATGATTATATCAAATGAATTAAAAATATGTCTACATATATATATATCTATATATATGTTTACTGATTTCTTTAGTTTTGAATTGCATGCATACTTGAATACTCGAAACGACATCAGTAACTTGGTACACTTTCCGTTTTCGAGCAGTGCAAACAAATAAATAACTTTCTCTCGTTTAAAGAAAAACGAGGTCTCCTTGCATTTTTCAAGCTTTCCTCTCTTAGTTGCCTGTTTTTCTTTGCTTCACAATTGACTAAAATTTTGAAAAAAAATCCAAGATTAGCCCCTCAATGTATGTAAGTGTTTTTTCGTTGATTTTTTTAAATGAAATGAATGGTTTCACAGCAAAAGAGTTAAGAGTTAAGAGAGCAACCAACGCAAGCTTTAATTGTTACAATTTTTATATAATAAGTCAATGTGTGTGCGTTTACGTATGTGAGTGTGTGGGTGTATGTGATTCTTTTAATTTTTACAGGCAGAGACATTTATAAATATCAACGGCAAGCATCAGCAGTGTGCACAATTCGCCATCCCTGCCTAACTACTCTAACAACACATACACACACACACACACACATATATATATATATATATATATACACCTTTTCTACCATTCTCCCTTGGGGTATTACCACTACGTATTACTTCTCGGGGATTGTATTAGTTCAATTTTTTAGATAGGACCTTACCAGATTATTTTATTGGGTTTTATTTCCTATGCTCTCCGCCCGCTGTTTTTCTACAGCGTCGCAGTTCGCGGAGCGTCTTCGTTACGAAACCATCTACGGTTATGCCCGGTCATTGTAACCAAACATGGTACGATTCGTTTTGCGGCTGTTCCGCGTCCTCCCTTACATCCATGTTAGGTCCGAACCTTTAGAGATACTTCCAAAACAAACCGTGACCGATCAGGAACTATGTTTAAAATGTGTGTGCATGTGCGTGTGTGTGTGTGTTATTTGAGTTGGAAAACCGTCGTCAGGCGCAGTACGAGGTCTTTAACCCGTTAAAAACCACCTAAACTCCTAGCCCCTACCCTGTACCCTATGACTGTTTAGGCATACCGGTACAGGGAGAATAGCTGTTCACGCACTACTTAAGAGTCTACCCGTTAACGCCGCTTGTTTTTTTTTTTTTTTGCTTTCTTATCGTGCAACATATTTGTCCAAAAGTTGTCGGGGAGAGGGAACTCTGCAATGTGTTTGTGTATGTATATGTTTGTGGGCAGATCTATTGCTTATGTGACTACCGCTGCTCAACAATCTGCATGGAATTTCGCTTGTGAGTCATTCAAGTCATTTTTCGAAACCCATGTCAATGCATTTTTCAATTTATTTACATTTAGTTCGAAAAGAGACAAATAACTATATGCTGCACGACGATCGATCGCCACTACAACCTAGATTTGGTCCCTGAAAACAAAAATGAAGCTCAACAATTTCGTTGATATAGACTGCGCATCAATAGTTTTGCATACGGAATTTATTGACTTCATTAAAGACAATATTTTCGCTCAGTGATGACAACGCAAGACAACAACGTAAGGAACCGATAGTAACACTGATATGTACTGCAGGATATGATATTGCGATGCAGATGATTATTGTCTTCTACAATACTCGTTTGTCAGTGCAATTTTATACGAAAATATTGTCAAATTTTTGAAGTCAAATAGGGATGAAATTTACATAAATTATTCGATTCACCGAATACAAGGCGTGTATTTAATAACTATGGCTTATCGCCAGCATATTCGTTTATAGTGGAAGTTTGCTAGTGAAAGTATTTGTTGCCCCTTCAGTTACCTGCGAAGATTTATGCTTATTATAACGTAAGTAAAGTAATTATGTGATATTAAATTTGAAAAACGATCGAGGAGTTGGCAAAGCGCGTTATCATGGCCCCATACCAATCAAGCATGGCTATTGCATTACTTTTATATGTGAAGCATATTACAATATAATGGAAATAAATTTTAACGAGAAAAATATCCTTTAATAAAAGCATTTTCATGCAAGCAATCAAAGCGTATACAACAGTACTGGCGAGCTGGCTTTTGTTGCCATACCGTATGAAATGTGTAAATGCTAAAATGTAATAATTTTAATTAATTGTGATTAATTTCCATGGCATATATTAAAACATGATGTTAATTTTTTTTTTTTTTTTTTTAGTTATTATTATTGCCGTATATTGTGATTGCTGTTGTTGTTATGTCGCATTTTTCTCTCTAATGGTTTTTAATAACATTTAGTTTAACACAACACAACAGGTGTTGAACTACACATTGAACGCCAAATACGATCAGCTATCACAGCATACATGATCATAACTATATATATATATATATATGTATATGTATATATAAATAATTAGAAAAAAAAAAATATTATGGAAACCACGCGATTCTTATTAAAACGAGACATTTTTTTCAAATTATAATAAATTAATAATTATTCTCCGGTTATATCAGTTATGCAGTTTTTAGTTTTTTTTTTACTTTAAATGCTTTTGATAATTTTCAAACATAATGGTTTTGAGGAAACGTTTTGTCCTACCTAAGTGATGTAATTAGTTTTATCGGATCTCTATAAAGTATAGTTTGTTTAAATCGTTTATTAAATACTTTATTATCATATATTTTTAGGCAATCTCTAATCAAGTAATCAAATGGAAATTTCAACAGGTCCATCTTGAAGAAAATTTTCTGTTTTTGCTTGGACTTTGTCATATTTGACATATGTAAATTAAGCGCAACGAACTTCGTTGGCCATTGAATGTGATGCAGTTTCAATGCTTAACAAGAACGAAATAAATTATTTAAATTATTCACATAGCGATAGGAAGGAAGGAAAGTCGCACAGTCTGAGCAGGCTATTCCAATATCCATGTCAAGCCCAAGCGAGAATTCAGAATCAGCTTTCCTAATTATTTCAGCAAAACTTATAAAAATTATATGAAAGGTGCCAAAGTGCCAGGGATAGCCAGAAAAGCTGATTGCTAATCTGCTACCTCCTCACGAAGCCAAATTTGATATTCAAAATTTGTAGAAAGAATTCGTGCTAGATGTATATGAAAAGTAACAACGAAAAGAAGAAGAAAAAAGCAATCCAGTACTACAGTCGTGAAGAATTTGAATACAATAACAGGAGTAATGTTAAGCAGAATGGAAAAAATGAAAAGAGAAATGTTTCAAATTTTATTGCATCGAGTATGAGCATGAGTGTTTTTTGCAGACGCAAATGGCAATACCAGCAATAACAGCAATAAGCCTCCGTGTATTGGTATATTGCTGTTGTGGCGCTGGCAACCGCAAGGTAAACAACAGAAGTTATATGCACAACGTATGCAGCATAAATGGATAATAGAAACGTTGCTGTTGCTAACAAAAATTGAATTATACTTTGAATGCGCGAGCGACGTCGTCTTAAATATTTTAGGTGGAGAAAATAATAAAGCGGTAAAAGTAAAAAATGCTGATTGCATACTATATAAATAACTAACTGGGCAAGTCTTCTTCTATCTGAAAGACAAATGACTAAATATGGTAAAAAAACTTGCTCTCTTGGGATGAGAAACATTCCCAAATATATTTGTGCTACGACTAACAACGACTTGTAACACAAAATAAAATTTCTGATGCTAGCAAAGAAATTGACTTATAACACAGAAGAATGGGCGACATTTTTTTATATGGCTTTGAGAATGAAAGCAAAACGTCATGTTTAGTGCCTGTTAAAGGCAAAGAAACTAGGAAACCAATTAAAGAGAATGGGGCAAGAGCCACAAAAACTATTATAAGAACTTGTACTTTGCGAAGTTATTAGGCCACTTAGTGTTAATGTTCATTTTCTGGTGCGCGATTCTTACTCAAATTTACGGATAACTATTCCCGAATAATATTTGTTTAGCCCCTTAAAAAGGAAACCTGAGCTTCTTGATATATTCATTGAATTTTAGAAAATGGTTAAGAACGAGCGTTCAACGACAATAGAAATTCAAAGAACGGACAACGGTTGTGTGTAGAAGCAGTAACTTTGAGCATTTCTTACGGAATAAGAAAGTGTTTCACCAAACAAACATGCCCGTATTTTCCAGAATAAAGCGGTATAGCAGAGAAAATAAATTAAATCTTGATAGAATGTGTGAGGTGTATGCTTATTGACAGCAGCCTTAATCATCGCTTTTGAGATGAAGCTGCCCATAGCCCTTAGCTGTGATGAAAAGAAATCTCCTGAAGAAATTCGGTCGGGCCGAGAATTTTTCGAAGCCCTCCTCTCTTACATATACGTAAAGAAAAACCAACAATTAAAAATCTTTTATGCAACATAACTTGTTTTCGATGATCCAAGCGGTATAGAGGATGCGATGTTATCAAACAACTCAGCCGAATGCTAAACCTGCCATGAAAAATGAGATCGTGATTTATTGCTGACAAATAATACGTGGGTAGTGAGAAGGGCGCGTTAAAAACAAAAAGAGACGAATATGGTAATGCCGCAAGGTAGAAGGCCAGATTGGTGTTTAACGATTTAGGGTAGGGTAGCATCTACAAACAGGCGTGGATGGTTCAAATTTGATACAATGAATTTTTTTTCTCAAATTACTATTGTGTTGCATCATCATGTATTAGAACTTAGACTTTTCTACCTGACAATTGGTCAATTTTCGTGAAAAATTCTATTAGGGTAGGATCCAAAATATAGGCCGCAATGGTCCAAATTAGATACAGTCAATTATATAAGCAATGAAAATTTTACCTTTTTGTCGCATGAACTTCGGCTTTCGTTATATGAGAGTAGGATCAGAAATTTCCCCAATTGGTTCGAAGTTTTCATACCAATTTAGAATGCCCAAAACACCTTTATCGAGAAATTTTAAAAAATTATAATTTTTTTCCATACAACAATTTTTCAGAATAGGGTGTTATTTGGGAACAATCGAAAAAGTAGACCAATCCGAACTATTTTCAGCAGCGTTCGTCCTTGGACCAAACCACGTCGCTGTATCAAACTGCATCGAAATATCTCAAAAATTACGGCTTGAACGCAAATCTACATGAACATGCATCGGACGGACAAACAGGCTTAGATCAATTCAGACTACGATTCTGAATCGGTCGGTATGATGAAAGTCTTTCTGAGTAGTGGGGTATAAAGATATGGTTAACGATCAGGATTGCCTTGAAAAATGTTACTGCGATTTTTCATTCTCGAAAATATTAATTTGTAAGTGGTTTGCTAACTTTAAGCAAAGCCATATGGACGCCAATGGCGCTGAATGCTCTGTTCGCCTGAATTCCTGAGCTGTTCCAAGCAAAAAAGAAAAAAAACGAAATCGTTTTGAAAGACGAAAAAGTTAAATTGCGTGAGATAATTGACACCCTAAAATTATCAAAAAGCCGTAGCCGTATGGACAATTTTGGATGTGCATTTGCATATGAGGAAGCTCTATTCGAAATGGATGCCACGTTTGCTCACTTTTCACTAAAAACAACAACCTATTGCAGCTATTTAGGCGAAATAAAAAGGAATTTTTCAAACACGATATGTGACAATGAATGAAATATGGCATAACCATTGTACTCGAGAATGAAATCAGAAGTCAGCCGATTGCGGCAAAACCCGTCCAAAGCAACCAAAAGGAAAAAATTTGACTGGGAAAGTTATGGTGTCGGTATTGTTGAGTGAGCAGGACATAGTCTATAATAAAAGTTATTTAGCGTTATGAGGGGCTTTCGAATAACGAAAATGTACCAAAAACGATGCGTTAGATCGGCGAATTATTGAGTGATGTGATATAGAACTCTTTACTAACGCTGCAACCAAATGTAGAAAGAAATCTATTAAGAATTCGGTTTCAACTGAGAAAATTTTTAAATGACTTTGCTTGAATTTTTCATTGCATATGCATGCATAATATGATCATATATATACAAGTAAATAAATATTATTTTTTTTATTAAATATTATCATAACATCAGCAATATTTATATTGATCGCATAGAGTCTTTTTATATGAACATTTTAATCAAATTTTTAGAAAACGCCGACAATAGCTTGCATAACGAAACTTCGCTAAATATGTCTGAGCGCAAGTGTCAATTTGTGTGCCTGTATGCTTATTTGCTTAAGTTTTCTATTAATTACTAATTAACATTAATATCTAACATAAATTTGTTCGTTCGTCTGTCTGTTTATCTTTAGGAATTTTGTCCGATGATAGGAAAAAACAACTTAATTTAAAGAAAAAAAAAAAAAAAAAAAAATTATTTCTACATATTCTCTTACATTTTATACCCTCTAATACTGATGATAAATATACATGAAGATCGTGCGGATGTCTACAACATCCAGAATGACTTCAATCAATTTAGCAATATTTTCCCAATCGATTTAAGGTTATCGATCTGTGCGCCCGATGTTAAGCCATCTATTTTCGTGTTGAACCCTTAGATCTCAATTTTCGAGATATCTCGATGAAATTTGGTACGCCAATATGTTTTAGATAAAGAACGAATCCTGTTGAAAACATGTTGATTGGAACAATTTGCACGATCGCTAACCATATATTGTTTAACTTTGCAAAAGACTTGCAATGAACGAATACTCTCTTTTTAATATGTTTCAATACAAATCGTTGAGAAATATGATAGTATATTGACCTAGTAAATACATGCCGAAAAATTGGATAGAATGAGATTATTTTTCGAACACACGTTCACTAGAATCCACTTCTTGCAAAAGATAAGCCTTTTTATGACAATGGCCGACAGTTTCTAATATTTTATAATGCGAATTGACATAAGATATC